GGCAGTGAAGCATCGGTGTTGAACACTGATGTCATGCTGTCGATGATGATGACATCCACAAGTCCAAGCCATTGACTTGAGTGCACAGCTCTGTTCCCAATATTCTCACTTAAAAGTCTACTGGCAACGCAGAAATTATATCAGCGCCCGCCTCCAATGCGCAGTTACATACCACACTTCCCCCAATCATCGGCAAACGAACACGTGACAGTTATAACCAGTATACGACAATTACGTGGTCCTTACAGATGACAATGACGATGCTAATGACGCAAATCCATAAGGCGTGAGTACCAAGCGGGATTTCGATCGAGTAGAAGCTGGGTCAACCACATCTTCACACTCCGCCAGAAGTTGGAGGAACGCCACATGTACAGACGAATCGCAAGTCCGGCATTCCTTTACTTTAAGGGTGTGTTGGATTTTGTCGATCGGTCAGTACTGTAAGCCACAATTACTGAGCAGGGTATGCCTCAGAAGTTTTTGAACATAACCCGGTTTCCACATTCACGAGTTTCTGGGCATGTGAGTGTATGGTGAGATCTTCAAAAGCCTCCCAACAAAATGTGATGTCCGGCAAGGATGTTAACAATCTCTGTTCCTGTTCAAATGATGATGATGATAATGGAAATTCTACAAAACTCCGGTGTCCAAGTCGTTGCTAGTGAGGACCTTGTCGATCTGGAGTATGCAAGAGATATCATCTTTGAAGATGAAGTAGAAGCAAAACCTCTGTTGAATAATCTGATCACCGTCATGCCCCTTGCACCTTCAAAGTGCAGTTGCTGAAAATACCCTTTAGAATTCAGGGAAAAGCAGCGGAGGATGTAGAAAGTTTTACATATCTTGGTAGTTTTATTAGCTCTGGCGGAAGTGTTCGACGAAGTCAGTGAACGAATTTCAAACGCCAGAACCATGTTTGATAATTTGCATCACTTGTGGCATCCAGATGGCATATTTCTGGGTCTCAGGGGTCGTGGCACTTGGCTACAGTAAGGGCTATGTTGTTGTATGATTGCAAGACGTTGCCTCTGCGGATAGATGATGTAAACATGTTTTGACCACCGATGCCTCAGGAGAAGTTAATGTCGGATGTCACCAGTGGATTCGTAAAGAAGGGATTAAAACGAGTATTTCGTTACGTAGCAGGCCCCCAATCGCGGAAAATATCCAGCACAATCGAATTCGGTGAATCGTCCACCACTACGCAATGATACACATGCCAAAACAACGTTCACGGAGATGAGCGCTCTTTCCCCGGCGTCTTTCAGAATGGTGCAAATCGCCTTCCAGGCTAGGCTGCGTTTGGTTGGACACACTGCAATAAATGGCGGCTGGGCGGCTCGAGATAGGCCAGCGCCAGGCCCTCTACCTCACATAATCTTTTCATCCGAGTGCTTTCAGCATAATTAGACTGTGGTTGTAAGGCAGTGAAGCATCGGTATCAACACTGATGTTTCTGTCTTTGATGAGCGAGGGTGATCCTGTAGGGAGAGCCACCAAGGCTTACCTTGACCTCGGGGTTTGTCAGGAAGTTTCTATCCCATTCCACTAAGTCCGTATGTTGGCAGTTTGGCCACAATTGATTGGGAGATATCAAAACTTGTTTCACCAAGCGAGCCCCCATGGCAATGATCATATGCATGATACGCACGCTAGTAGACCGCCGGTACCTGAACTCATGCTGGTGTTTTCCAAATCACGCTTAGCTAAACAGTCTATCACCCTTCAACTCAACGACAGAAGGCGCGTCTTTGTAAAACACTTTTCCCCGCTACAAATTAGGAGCGGTGTTAACGGTTGTCACCACCAGTTTTGCAACGCAATTTAAGGTTCCTTGGAACACGCACTTCCCTGAAACGCCTAGTTGGCAAGGTATTTTGACGACACAAAGTTGATAGCCGTATTCACCTTCCAGAAGGAGTGTCCAAACTCTGACAACCGAAGATTACCGGTCTTCTAGATCAGGGAACACTGGACAATTGCCGCGGGTTCACGTATCGCGCAATGGATATCGAAAGTGAATTGAAAGCGAATTGCTCGCCACTGGTTGTGTCGGTGTGAACCACTGAAGAGCATCAGCTACGTTATCACGAACAGTGCCAGTGATATCCGCACGGCGAAAGGATGCACTTCCGGCCATTAGGATAAATGCATCGGATTGAGCCAGCTGACCCAGAGGTGTGTTTATGAGGGTTTATACAGTAGTCGACATGTGTACGCGCCCAGCTGTACTAAATCAAATTCTAAGTGCTCACGATTCAAACCATAAGATTGAGAAAGGAACAGTAAATTCACTGTAAACTCCGAAAACTGGTGCCCGACCAGATAAGCGGGTAAAATCTTCAGTGAAACACTAACCTTGAGATCGAAGCGGAACGCGCAGCATTTTTCAACTGCGCGCGTTTCTATAGTTGGTCAATCAGTCATGGAATCACGGATTCAGGATCGAGACTCTCATCCAATTTTCCCGGGTCGGGGTCGTTCTTGCCGTTTAGCGACTGTCATTCACATGAAATGCACGGAAGAAAAATGGCGTAGCACCGCTCTTTATGTTCTCAGCGCGGGGCAGCATGCTTGCCAGCGCGAGGACTCGCATAAATGAGTGTCTAATAGCGCTTTGAACTGGATTCTAGAAGAAGCGTAGACAACCGTCGGAGGAAGGTCATTCCACGCAGCTACTACCCGAAATGGGAACAAATTTACCCAATAAATGTGTGCGCTCTGAGCTTGAAATCTTCTTACCATGTGCTTGCCGTTTGTTGGGCCATTGGTGAAAAACCTGTAGGGCAAGCTTTGCTTAAACGGGGCATAAGTAAGAATTAGGTCCCCTCGGAGGCGACGGTACTCCAGGGGAAAGAGATCAAGCATCGCGAGACGCGTTTCGCAGTCCACGGATTTGAGGCCAGCAGCCATTCACGTGGCGGCTCGCTGGACACGCCCAATGAGTGTGAGGTCTTTCGTGCGTCCTGAGTAGACAACTTGGTTGGCGTATTCAAGGGGCGGTCTGACGTGGGCCCCATGGAGTATTCGGAAGTCCATGTGAGTAATACGGGAGAAGGCGCGCCATATCATCCGTAAAGTGGCGAATGCCCTTTGGGCCGATTTCCCATGATGCAGTGAGAAGGACAAGTTTGATGAGATCCATATACCCAATCCAGTTTTGCGTCTATCCACATGGCGTCTTCTGATTCTTCTTACCATGCATGACAAAGGCATTCGCTGAGTCTCCTCCCAATGACATGTGAACACACTTTTATCATTCAGAGGAAGGCGCCTGTCCAACGATCACTGCTTGGCAGCGTCTACATCCATTTGGAGGGCGCTGGCATTGGAACTCCAGGATTTCAAGTCGTCCGCAAAAANGTAAACGTGGACTCGCAAGAACGTCTGGGAGGTCGTTGACGTAGATCAGAAACAGGAGTGGTCCCAAGACGGAGCCTTGAGGAACTCCAATGGAGACCGGCGCTGGAGAGGAATAGGTTGAGCCTATTCTCACTCGGAATGACCTGTCTGATAGGAACGCCTTGATCCAGCGAAGGATTTTCCCTTGAATCCCGTAAGACTCGAGTTTGTGGAGCATCGAAACTTGTGGAACCCTATCAAGTGCTTTTTAGAGGCCAAAAATATGGCACCCGCCATGAGTCCTTTGTCCTTGGCTTGGGTCAAGCTGTTCATAAACAAGAGCGTGCTGGTCACGCAAGACCGATTTGGGAGAAATCCGTATTGAGCTGGAGATAACCGGTTTCTGTAAGTGGGGTGATCTAGGATATCTCACTTCACTATGCGTTTCATCACCTGGCATGGCACGCTAGAAAGGCTTTTAGACCTGTAACTGCCAGGCAATAGTAGGTGTTTAGTTTTTTAGCTTGGCGTGACAATCGCTTCCTTCCAAGCAGAGGATGGTTGCCCTTGTCGAGCGACTGACGAAACACCGGGTATAAATTATTTGCTAGTGTAGACGTTTCTTTCAAGGTCCTTGAATGGACCTCGTCAGGCCCCAACGCGGAGAATGGGTTGATCTTGTGCAAGAGTTGACGAATATCCTCCACCGTGAAGACCAAGTTAGTTGGAGACTGTTCGTAGCTACGCATTCGCTGGTCGAAACACACGATCAAGGCTCACACCGATGCTTCAAAATTCATATTTACGGTCGTCGTGCAGTGGCTCCCTTTAACCTAAAAGGTGCAGGCGAAGAAAATGTGTGGCGAGACCCTTAACTTCTAAGCGTTAAATCGTAAGCTTTCCGGTGAGAGGGCAAACATAAAAGGCATCACATGATCTAAACTGGGTCCTGGATACAGCACCGATAACTTGTGAGTGGTAAATTCATGCGTTCAGTGTTCGATAAGAGTAAAACTGATGCCTAATAAAAACGCAATTCTAAAAAGCCAACTCACTAGCAGTCCAGCTTCTGTGGACCTCTCTTTCCAGGAGGCGAAATGCAGTTCTATGCAAAAATTTTTTCGGGTGGCTGTAGTTTCTATCTTGCGAGACTCCGAGATTCCCTAATATCCAAAGAGTTGAGGTTCCGGGAGTCTCGTTTGCTTCCTTGGGCGCCCGAAATTGGTTGTTCTATCAGTATTCCTCCGCGAAAATGGCTGGCCGCATACTCGTGGCACTGAACGATCAGGTTGCTTTTGGTGATACCTACACACGGTCCGTTTTACTCGACGACTGTGGCCCAAAATTGATGCACATCCCACTGGCAAGAATCATCAGGCTTACACAACGGGGATAGCTTCTACTTTGTGTTCACACCTACTTCCGACTCGCTTGCAATTGGCATGACCAACTCGATGAACTTAAGATTTTCAGGTACAATGTTATCGAATTAAGGTTTCGAATAATAACCGTACTGATGATCAGATTGGCCTATTTTGACGAAGTAGAGGCAGAGCTTTTGCATGGGCGATTCTAAGACGCACGAACCAACTTTCGAAGCGCAGTTTGAGTGAAAGAAACCATGATATAATCTTCTAGCATTTGATGGTATTTATTCGAATCAGCCAAATCTCCCCGCTCAACCACTCTGGTTGGAAGTTGTCTAAAGGCACTTCACTATGGACACCGTCTTCATTGCCCCAATGAATGCGGTGGGAAATTCTCTGGAAAATTTGGTTTCTTCACTCATTTTCTACTGTATTGCATTAAACAACAATCGGAACATAACATAAACAATAATTTCACCCTGCCTGTCGGCACAAACCCAAAACGGAGCGGCTGTTGGCGACCTGTTTAGGGAAACGTTTTCTATCGTCACAATGGGCGACTCGCCAGACAACGTTAGTGAGTTTTTCGTTTCTTTGGTGGTCAGCGCACGCCGCATCGGGTGCACGGCGCGGTTTTGTGCTAACGGTATGTTGAATATTCGACAGTGCAACGAGTGGGACCATAAGATTCGTGGACAGAAACAGCATGCAATACAACGAGGTGTCCAGTACCTCGGAGTACTGGCACATATTCAACGTGTTTGACGGTTTTGTAGGTGTACGTCAGACCCCCGGTCAGCAAAGGGTATGGATATGTTGCATTACGGGCCAACCATCAGGCAGGGTAAGACAGTCGCTATGTGTTCATCGGAACGTCTTACTTTGGTTTCTTTGAGTGCCACGTGCATGAACGTCTTGGGTGGGTCCGTTGGGTTTTTTATGGTTGTTAAGATTGGCCAAGGAGAATATTCTTAAGTTCATCGAGGGCGGGGTGTTGTTCCCTACTGTAATTCAAATGAGTCTATGAAATAGCCCTGTCTACATTGTGGATACAAAAATAGAAGTGTCGAAGAAGTCGCCTGGACGACACTGCGGACTGTGGCCTGACACAACAGGGGCCAAGAGTGGGACAATTTCCAACTATTGCCGTAGGGCAACATTACCCGATTTAAAAAAACGGTAGTCGATATTCAAGTGGAGATAGTAGGTGTAATCAATGCGAGCAGGTGTGCGTATAAGTAGATTTCAGCGCCGTGCGTTGGCCAAATTTCACGCAATTAGTGTGGATGGAAGCATGCATGGACTATAAATCGAGATGTGCCTGGTGGCGTTGGGTGTTTGACGATGAGGTGCCCTCCGAACGTCGAATTTACAGCCCAGGAAAAACCGCAAAGACCTTGCTAAACGACTTACATTCAAGGAGTCGTACTGGGCGTATTGAGTCTCTGTTAGCAACCTTTTCTCTGTTATAAACGAAGTTTAGGACTCATAGTATGACTGCCCGAGATATATGCTACAACCGGAATGTGCATAAACTAGCGGCACAGGGTTTTATCAAAAATTGCTCCCATTATATATTTATCTACCCTTCATTGCATTCCTTCCCATGTCTTCATTCCATTCCATCCTCTCTATCCCATTCCTCCACTGGTATAAGACAGATTTGGAAAAAAACCTCTTTAGGTTTAATTTCACCACGCCCAAGAATGCATATCACGTTTGTACACAAGGATCCCTGATATCCACCAAATGGACCATTTGAGCAAGTAGTAAGTGTTGATTTACCCTGTGAATCAACGGTGAACAGCGGTAAGTTTCTTTATGTTCTGGCGGCTCATGGGTGGCGTGACTTATGCCCGTTTATTACGACGCCCTTTTGTTTCCTTGCTGCTCGTTTTCCCTCTGTTTCGTTCTTTCTTAAGGTCTGCTTATTCTTTAATAACTGATGTCAGTATTTTGTTGTCTGTCCGTCAGTGCTTCGGATTTCGTCTGAGTTCTACCTATTTTCGAGCATCCACCTTGACGGAAAAAGCGGATCGAAAGGGTATCGAACCCAGGGCTCCCGAACGGTAGCCAAACGCGCTGCCCATTACACCGACCCGACAACTGGAAGGGTATACTATTTGTATTACTCATGTACCGCGCCCGCCAGGTAGCCTTTGGCGAGTTTGTTCCAAAGGGACGAAACCGCGCAATCTGACTCGTCACGTGACAGGATCTGCCGCGTTGTGCCGCCAACCAAAAGGCAGTCCCTTACATCTCAAACGCACTTGTATTCTGTGCCGTGATCTCTCTATACGGCGAACTCACGCTGTCAGAATGCCCGTATATGCATGTTTGTACATCGTTTAATGCTTACTTGTCGTTTTTTCTAGAAATCCCTACTGCTTCAGTGACTGACTATTTTCCCCCCCGCTGATTGCATCATTACTGATTGTACTTTTGCGCAATTCACAATGCTTACCAACCCATTTGTCTGTAGAATCGGTTTCTGCCAGTCCTCAATGCATCTGCTGCCTACGTCTGTTGGGTCCTACTCTCTACTGGCTACGAACTGCGCATAATCTAATAGCCACTATTAGCCTGCGGGATCCATGGCCGCCCGGATCGTATTTTAAATCTACCCATGTAACAATGAAATTGTTAATTCCACGGGAACACCATTGGAGTAGTGTGCACAACAGGGTTTATCAAAACAAAACACGACTTTGTTAAGTTATGCGTGTTCATTAGTGTTGCCGAAGATGCACACGAGTTGTAAACGATTGTACTTTCTCCCTTCCAGAGACACTGTTGAGTAAAAGCGGCTTTCTGCGGGCGAAGGCTGGATTCACCACATATTACGTTTGTACTAATGCAGTCAATAGATATAAAGACACAACGCACCAATGGTGGTTGTACATTTTTCATACGTGGGTTTATTAGGCGGACGAGATATATAAGTTTAAAGGACCGATGTTGGCCGTTAGGTCAGTCGGTCATGCATAGGCAAGGCCTTGTATTCATCAACCTGAAAAGATGCTGGTATTCACCATAAATACGAAAACAAACAACAAAGCGTACAGTTTTAAATATGGTGGGCCACTGTTGGTTTTTCGATAAGGTTGTCGTAGATTGTTAGGGCCTCATAATCAGTGGCGCACATATATACCCGGGCCTAGCAGTTAAGATAATTCGCCAAGATAATCAGCGCTGCGTGCGGTC